GTGATTTAGTTATATGGTTGTGAATGATTTTTATGGGTTTATTATGTGTTTGGTCATGGTATTTTCGTGATATAGTTTTGTGGGATGTGGACGTGAAATAAATAGGTTATGGACAAAAGGAGAGGCTGGTTTATATGCCCATAACTTCATATTATCTGCCACCACCTATTGAATTGGTGGACTATATATTATATATACTTTCTTTTCTAAAAATAATATATGGTATATATTTTTTATTTAAAATCATTTTCAAATAGATATAATATTTTAAGTTTCAGTATCAATACTATTAATTTATTTAAGATCTAAGAAACTAGAATAAATGGGAATGTACTCTTTCACTCATTAATGTAAACAAACTATATTAAGTAACATTTTTTCATTTGTACTACCTATACATACCGGAGTCTTACTTACAAGAGACGTAACACTTAGATCACTTGTTAAATTTTATTTGACACGTCATTAAATGGATGGAGTTATGGAATAACAACTTACTTTTTCATTTGTTTAATCTTAGTTATCCAACTTTTTGTTGAATACTAGGTTTCATTGTACATAGAAAAATGTCATAGATAAAATTGACGTAATATCTAGTAAAGTTTAGATATAATTTATTTTTGTCTAGGTTATATATCAATTTAATTATATATATTAATATCAATTCCTAAATTGCATGTCCTACAACAACTCGCATGTTAAACTTCATTGGATAAAAGGCAAATGTATTAAAGCATAAATATGTGTCGACAAAGGTATTTTTTGGGGTGGAATATAATGTTTTTGTCATTACTTTTAACAATGCGTGTTTTTCTGTCTTTTATTTTTTTTTCTTATTTTTTATTTTTTATTTTTTATTTTTATTTTTTGTATAAAATTGTTCGTTAAGAAGTAAAAGGATTATAGGAATAATAAAACTATTGGGGGAATCGGGACACCGTCCTTATTCTTATTTATAATACATCTATGTATAGCATTAACACTAAACTACACAAATGGTTTATGTGGTTTGCATAAAATTGTCACTTTGATCAAAAAAAGTTTGTACTTTTGAGCTTTTCATTTTGTTGTGAGTTTGGTGCGATTTGGTTTGAACTTTTTGATAAAGACGATTTTGCCTATTGTTATTTGATTTTCCATTTTTCTTTTATTACAACAATTAAAAAAATTAAAAATAAAACAAAAATAAAATATTCCTCTCTCTCTCTCTCTCTCTCTCCCTAAAATCTACAACCCCATCTTCTTCCATTCTCATATAAACGCCAATGCACCACCATTTGCCGGAAGATATGACGCTAACATATCACCGTCTGCCGCCGTCGTCACCACTGTCAGCCAGCGTCGCCTTCGTCACCACCACTTTCCCAATCGATCTCTTTTTTTCTCTTATCTCCCGGATCTGTTTCATCTTTTACTCGCAATCATCATCTTTTACACACAATCATCAGTCAACAATACAACCACCAACAATGGCCAACACAACAACCACCACCGGTCAATGGCACCACCGGTTAACACCTGCATCGGTAAAAAAACGTCGTCATCATAGATCCGATAGTAACACCATTTTTCTTTTCTCTCTCTCTCTCTCTCATCTAAGTTCACTACTACACAAGTCATTTAATAGTGCGAGTGGTTTTTATTTTTTGATGCGGTCCTTTCTACAAACCGCCTTATTAAATATCTACAACATCAAAAAAGAAGAGAACCGCACCATAAAATAGCTTTATTAGTGCGGTTTCCCAAAATCGCGCCATTAAAGCATTTTTTAAGGCGGTTTCCCAAAACCGCACCAAAAAATAAGTTCGGAAACCGCCCCAAAAAACAATTAAAACCGCCTCAAAAAATAATTCGCACTAAAAAACATTGAACCGCACCAAAAAATAATTCGCACTAAAAAACATTGAACCGCACCAAAAAATAATTCGCACTAAAAAACATTCAACCGCACCATTAATCTTTCCTCTAAAAATTTCATTCGAATTTTTCATTATTCACGAGATCCCTCTAAATTTCGTTCAAAATTTTCACCTTCAAGCAAGCTACAAGTTGGTTGATCCTTTGAATTTTTCATTTCCCTCTTATATTTTCGTTTTCTCCTTCTATATTTTCATTTCTCTCTAAAAGTATGTGTGCCTTGCGTTTGCTTTTCCCCCTTTTACAGACAACACAAGAAGCATATCTCTTTTCTTCTTCTTTTTTTTTTTTTTTTTCTGATTAACGTTCGGCTTGTTTAAGGTAAAATAGGTTGGTTGATAGGAAATATGTAGGAGATGGTGGTGCTTCGATGGTTCTCAGTAAAGGCACGACATTTGTGGTCGGTGTTGACGGTGGTTAGTGGTGGAGATGGCAGGTATGCAGATAAAATAATTTTTGTTCTTCTTCCTTTTTTTATTGATTTACGTTTGGTATGTTTAAGGTGGAAAAGACGATGGTAACTGGGGATGTTGGGTGTTCTTCGTGGCTTTAATGGTGGTTTCTGACAAAGGTATGGCAGATGACGATGGTGTCAACCGGTGGTGGTTTATCCTCAGTTGTAAAGGAGGTCAACGTAGAGATGCTTGACGGTGGTTAATGGCGATAAAAATGGTGCGGCTTGGTGATTCTTGTGTTCTCGGCAACAAACACGCGGTAGAGATGATGGTGGTTTAAGGGTTGTTTCCGGTGGGATGTTTTTTTTGGTGCTGTTTGCATTTTTTGGGGCGTTTTTCATCATTTTATGGTGCGGTTTGTATTTTTCCTCTACTATTTTTTGGTGCGGTTTTGACTATTTTTTGAGGCGGTTTTATAACCGCACTATTAAGTGAGGGTATTTTTTGATGCGATATTTGTTAGTGCGGTTCAATAACGGCATCAAATAACTATTTTAACCGCATCAACAAATCATTTATGTACTAGTGGTTGGAGCACCGTCTCTCTTACATATCCGATAATAGGAAGGTGGTAAGACAAATCAGAAGATCGAAGGTTCGTCATCTGCACAAATCTGAGTTAGAGTGCCTTTTTCACCACCGACTCCATTACTAGGGTTTCTGCACCTTCTTCCTTCGTACAGTGGTAAGCTTCATCGTATAGTGGTAATCCCCCTTTCCTCTCACCGGAAGATCGATTTCGAACAACAACAAGTATGTGTGATTGAATCAACAACGCACAAAAACCCTCATGTGTGTGGGTTTGTTCGACCGGCGCACAAAAACCCCATCTCTCCATCTTAGATTCATTGTACTCTTCTCATTTAGACCTGAAACCTAAAATCGAAAGGGAAAGAGGGTGATTTTTGAAGTATTTTAGTCTAAACCAACAGAAACTACACATACGGGTTGCAAAAAAGCAAAGCATACATGTAGATGATGAATCGATGAATCGATGCATAGAATGGTGGGATGCAGAACATGCTATGGTCATTAACTATTTTCTTCAAATGAGTGATTTTTTTGTTACGATGAAAGAAAAGAGGAATTGTGCTCTTATGCCACACAC